ACAACCTTTCACATTCTCGCATATTCTAGCACCTTTCACTTTTGAAAGTCGTCTGCACACCGCTTCCAAGACAAACTTTGGCATGCCGCAGCAGTGCGTTGCTGAGCAATCAGCCACCCAGCCATCCAGTCACCCAGCTCCGAAGGATGTTGAACGAGCTTCGCAGACGTCGCAGACTTCGCAGTCTGGAACTGCACGGCGCTCAGTCGCCATGCGTGCCGAATGTCTCAACTGTTTCCGGAATGGTTCTTTGGAGAGCTATTTTAAGTCTTCCATGATGTTGCAGTGTGTGAGGTCGAAAATGTGTACAAGATATGCCATTCAGCTGTTCAATTCAAGCAGAAGCAGTGTAACTACACGCATTTAGTTCTTTTTTGGAACAAGTCTTCTTTTGAAAGTCTAAAGTTTCAAGAAAGAGTTCTGTATGTTTAACATTGCAGGTGCCCACTTCGAAGTGCGGAGTTTCATGGTTTAGATGCGGCTGCAGCGGAAGATTTGGGAGACAGGCACGGGCCACACCGCTGGAAGCGCGAACTGAAATTATAAAGAATATCGAAGCACTTTGCCGCGGAAAAATTGAAAGAGGAAGACGAAGAATCTGTGCATTTGAATCATTTCAATGTCTCAGTTCGTTTTTGCCCATGTGATGTGGCAGACAGAGTGGCACAGGTATCTCGAACCCGGGATGGTAACTATTCAAGGTGCCAAGGGGTGATTCCACAAGATTTCACTGAGGTTTCAAAGTGACTTCTGCTGACAGATTCTGTCAGTTTTGGGCTTTCAGGGTGTGTTGCGTGTCATGCTGTTTGTGTTGCGTCAACAAGCAATCATTGTCGAATATTGTCGACCTGTGCCGCAGGGAGTGGCCGTTGACCATTGCGTTTTGCTGTGGATCCATTACCATCCTTTCAAGGCAGAGCAGCGGGCCTGAGCTGCGATGTTACGACATGTTACGACATGTTACGACATGTTGCGACATGTTGCGACATGTTGCGAAATTCTTCCAAGATTTCTCCATTCACCAAGACAACAAAATGATTTGAGCGTGATCCAATCGGTCCAATCAGTTGATGGCAACAACCAGGAGGCATTTGAGCCATTTGCTTTACTTTGTGACCTCAACTCAGACACTGCGCATTGTGCAGATTTGTGCAGCATGAATTGTGCGAATCAGCTTGGGTCATGCTGAGTCTGGCCGAGGATCGATGTGATTTTAATCATCTACGAGATTCTCACCCACAGCCAGGCCACTTCAGCGATGACACGGCTACAAAAAGCCATGAAAAATGCCTAGGATTTCATTCAGCACTTGAACTCTGTCTAACGTCACCCCTGAAGTATGTTCGATTTCTGTACATAAAAAAGAAGTGTACTGATCGCAGAGCAACAATGAGTGCTCCCGAGGTCTATGCGATGGCCTGTGTTGCAGCAAATGCAGTTTGCGTTATCAGCACGTCTTCGTCTCAGAGATCGTCGTTGCCCATGAGTTGAAGAGTTGCCGCACACTGGAACCGATTCTACTGTAGTCGTGTTCCCATTGTATTGTTCCATTCATTCCAGTCCTTTGGCATTTCCACTTTTTGTCCATTAAATTATATGTCCATTCCTTTGTTTTAACGTCAGTTCTTTTTCGCTCTCAAGAACCTCTTCCACACGTCCATCGCCAGCACCTGGTGTCAGATTAGGCTGACATCCATACTTGTTTAGTGTTATCTTTGCAAAGACTATTTCAATCTATTCCATGTTTGATCCTTGCCTGGAGCCTTTTTGATGGGTGTCCATGTACATCCTGCGGTCAACGGTCAACCAGCATGCAACTGTTCCAAATCTCGCCTTGCACCATGCGAACGCCTTTCATGGTTCGTATACCTTTTGTATATTGTGTTTTCTGAACCTGTCGTTCAGGTTGGCTTGCTTTGAACAAATTGATGAAATCGCACAGTTTGGGACTCAAGTTTGAGACTTTGAGGATTACTTCATTAATATCCGACTTGCTTCAATCACCGTACAAACTGTAGTCTCTTTTCAGGTTGCAGAGGAGGATTCACAAGTATCAGCAGAGGCAGCTTCTGAGCAGAAACTGTTCAACGGAGGAAAATGGAATGCTTTCAATCAAACATGCTGAAACAGTGTGTGGGTGTTGGTGTAAACGTGTGCTGTAAACGGTTCTGAAACACGGTTGTGAAACTTGTTCTTACCTGGTTTTTAGCACGGCAGGAAAGATCAAGTCCAGGAAAGACATCGAGAAGCCAAGGAGAACTGGGCCAAGGCATCGGCGCCAGAATCGAGACCGTAGAGCTTTGATGCTCTCCTTCCGATTCAGCCATACCAAAGCAGTTTGCTCTAGTTTTTCTTCAAACCAACTAGCGGCATCCACCACACTTCCAAAGTGTCCAAAACTCTTTTGACGCATTTTCTTTTCCACGGTGATTTCATGCAGTCCTAACTGCAGGAAATTGTCTGGCATTTTGTTGTGCAGGTTTGCAGTTGCTTTCTTTCACGTTTGATTTTGCAGTTGCTTTTGTTTGCAGATACATCTATGCAATAACATACAGTAGCCATGCACAGCAAATGTTGGTGCGAAATCCTGCGATGTGTGTTTTCTTGTGCTTGGCTCTTCAGCGGTAGCTGGTAGTCCATGCTGGTAGCCCATGCTATGATTATCGTCTAATATCGCTCAAGCTCTCATGCAGCCATTGGCACAGCGTATGACACAGCATGTATGGCACACAGTGTCTGTAGCCCCGATGTGTTTTTGACGAAATCCTCCAGGTGCAGCAGCTGCATGACTTGTGGAACTACAGGACCTTTTGCGCGACGAAATGACCGCAATGACGCCGGGGGGCCGTACCAAGACATGATGCGACGTGATGCGACTTGACAGCTGATGTCAGGACTCAACCTTTCTTGACCATCATGGGTGAGGACCTTAGATGTGAAACAACGAGACACAAAGAGACGAGGTAGCCGCGTTAAGCCAATTTGACCATGGAAACAGCAAGAAAGATCATGAAAGGATGTGAAAGGCATTGAAAGGCAAAAGGTCATTCCTGTGAGGTGTGAGGAGAAGCAGGAGTGTTACTCCTATAAGATGGCCAGATAACCCATAGATATGACAGACAACTAGTTATTTAGAGAGAGCCACTGGACAAAGTTAACGACGTAGCAACGACTGAGGGAAGATCCACCGCGCTCTTGATGATAAGGACAAGCAGGGACAAAGAGTCATATGCCTTGCCAAGCAACCTTGCCAAGCAATTTGGACTAAACAGTTTCGTAGCATGACGACCATTTGATGATTGGTTGCAACGCCCGTGTCATCCTGTTCAGTCTAGTCCGGCTTCTGGCATTCCAAACCAGGATAGAGAGTATGCCAGGCCTGAGCAAACGGCCCGGCCGCAGTTCAGCACGTCAGTTTTGGTTTGGCGATGCAAAAGCGATGGAAAAGCAAAGGAAAGGCACAAGACTACTAAATGAGACATGAAAGAGAGAGACAGAGGGAGCAAAGATATCGCAAAGCCGAACTACAAATGAACATCAAATTGAAGAACTTGAAGGAATTAATCAGGAAAGCAAACGGCTGTGCAAACGGCTCTCCGATGACTTCAGAACACTTGATTCGCCTATTGAAGGTAGACAAATGGTCACCACAATTGTTGAAAGCATTTGCACAAAGTCTAAGTGCAGTTTCCACTTTGTGCACAGGGCCTTGGAACTAGCTCGACGACGAGGAGAAATCATTGACGACACAGACGAAGAACGCCTGGAGTGGCGAGAAACTGAGGGAAAGCAGAGATTGACCGGCAAAGTTTGAAGCTTCTGAAGCAAACTTGAAAAGTTTGAAGCTTCATGAAGCTTCCAAAAACAAACTTCTGAAACTTTGTGATTTGTGATGCCTTGCTGCGCGGCCTCAGGATCCGCAGGGCGAATCAATCCTTGGAGTGTTTGGATCAGAAGCTGGGAAGTATCCAAAATTGGACGAAAGAAGGCAACGCTCCTTTGTCCAAGGCACGGCTTCTGTTTTTTTGTATGGTTTTCTGCGGTTTTCTGTGAATCTTTTATGGCGCAAGCTTTTTTTCAGGAGTGGAAGGAAACAATTGGGAGGCCCCGGTGCAGACTTGCGACAGATTTGCACTTGGGCACTCCTTGGGCACTCCTTGGGCACTCCTTGGGCACTCCTTGGATTTTGCGCATCACGGGCATCCCGCGGTTCCGCCCAGGCAGCTCCGCGAAGCGGAGCGCCAAACCGAAATCAACGAACTCGTTCAGGCACACGACATCCGCCCATGGATTCGCACATGGACTACATGCCGATACATGCTGTTACATGCTGCTGATCTCCTGTTTGATTCTTTCAGAAGCGATTTTAATATCCAGAACATGAGGACACCTCGAAGCAAGTAGCAATAGCATTTATGTTTGCTTCAGGTTCTGCCAATCCTCACCAAAGACCTTCGACAGATACAAGATGGCATCGGGCGGGGGCCTCTGAAAGATTCAGAGATTTGCCAAAAATCTAGTCGGGCTCAAGACAGATTTGAAACATATTGAAATTGATTGGTTAGAGTCATGTCAATATCTTGTCACATTGCCAAAACGATTGGAATATGACTGCAGGGGCATCAAAGTTTTTCTTGGCTCTACAGCAAGCATTGAAGAGAAGCCAGTTTGAGTGATGGTTCCCTACTAAGTCCAGCGCAGAAGATGAACGATGTAGTGCGCATGACGTCGTATGTATGTTACATTTTGCAAAGAGGTTGACCATAGAGAGTTGCATCGAGGTCCTCAACGTTTCGAACACTTGCCCACTGGATTCCGGACTAGAGATAGAATCTGAATAGATGATGAATGTCGACTAGAGATTGTGTCATGTCGACTAGCATTTCTTGTCCCGTTCTTGGCAGTTCTTGGTCAAGCCTTGGATTCTGAGGAACTAAGGCAGACTTTTGATGTAATTTCCCTCACAGTTGAGAGATGATTTGGGACTTTACCTGCATGTGTTTCCCCAAATCTACAAATGTGTAGTCCGAATAATGTCTGGACGTTTTTCGTTTGATCTTTCTCTTTCAATGTCCTCCACATCGCACATCTTTCAGTTTGTCCTTTTGCATTCCGGATGGCAATATTGGACTGACAGAGGGTCTCCTTCATCAGTTTTTCTTGCGGAGTTCAAGTCTGCTGCCTTGTTGTTTCTGACTAGTGATCGTTCGGACAAAAAGAACAATCCACTCAACTGCTGTGCTATGCTGTGCTTCCCCCTGTGATATGTAGACAGTAGACATGTGACGTTTCTGCTGCAGGCGATCACCATCCCCTGAAGCCCGTTAAGGTCGCCTGAAAAAGCGGTCACTCGTGCTTTGCTTTCAGACACTTCCGGTAGTCCGTGAAGGTGCAAAGGATGAAAGGAAACTAAATGAAACTAAGATATGCAAAGGCATGATAATTCTGAACAGCTGATGAAAGTTGTGCGGTGATGGGAAATGGTGAATTGGTTATGGGGCAGCTGAAAATTCCAGGTTGAACCATGTTTCAGAGGCTCTCTTGGCTCAAGCAACGTTGCATTGTGTCGTTTCGTTTCATTTTTGCCCGGCTTTCACAATGAGCGACTCCGATTTCGCAGCTTGAGTCCAAGTGCATGTCTTTTTCTCTAATCTCTACTGTTGCCATTTTTCGTCATTTTTCTCAGTAAAGCAAAGCCGCTGGAATCTTTGGAGCGTCTGAGGTTTTGTGCTGTGGGGGCGGCAATGCAGCACAGGCCAAGAGACTGAGATAGATGAGATAGACTGATGAGTCTGGCTACAACTACAATGTTACAACTCCGACTTCAAGTTTTGCTGTCACAAATTCTTCGCTTTCAACGATATGCAACACCACATTGACGATGGACTTTGGAAACATTCACATTGGCGCTCATTCCCAATGACATCCTAGTGACTTAGTGACCTTGACTAGAGTCAAGATTGATCACTGCTGGGTTTAGATGCGTCCATCTCCGTGTGTCTGTCTTCTTCAAGTCTTGAAGGTTGCAACAGGACTTTTTGCTGTCCGCTACAACACCATAGTGCCTCAGCTGAACAGGAGAATGTTGTTCCACTGTGAATATCACAACATGTTGAAATATGTTTGAAACATTGCATTTGAAACGTTAAAAGCAAGGTTCGAACATGTTGAAACATATTTGAAGCATTTTGAAGCATATTTGAAAAATGATGAAACCGGCCTTTGTTTTGTGTCCGTTGATACCAAGGCCGTGTCGTTCTTCGCCGACGAAGCCGCGAAGTGGAAAGCGGCCCTGGGAGAAGACGAATTTGAACTCACGCTGCCAGGAGCGAAGAAAAAACAGAACTAAAAAAACAACAAATCCTTTGAAAATCACCTTTCTTCAATGACTTAAGAATAATTGAATTCTCTTGGCTTACATTGGCTTTCTGCATTGCATTTAGATCAAGCTTTTACAACCATCTTAAGAGTTACTGGTAGAGTTTGCAATGTAAAAAGAGTTACTCATGTAAGAGTTACTGAGAGTTCCTGAGAGTTACTGTATTCTTGTTTTATCATGTTTTATCTTGTTTTGTGTTTGTCATGCCAAAGAAAGATGCCAAAGAAGTCGTGCTCGCCAGGAGGTGGTGTCATGAAGTCAAAGCCCAAGGATATCACCAATGATGCCTGGCAAATTTGGTCATGTCGATGCTTTCAAAATAATTCGATAGTTTTGATTGGCCATGATTGGCCATGATTGGCCATGATTGGCCTTTGCTCTAGTGCAATCTAGTGCATCTAGTGCCCTTTTTCCATGGTGCTCTTGCTTGAAAGACCCCAGAGGCAAAATACACTCAGACAAGCACAGCCTCAGACACGCTCAGAAAAATCGCATTTTCAGAGTCAGCAATGCTTGAAAATTCTGCTTAAACCTGTGCCCTCACATGTACTCAGGATCCTTCTGTCGCCAAAGATGCCGATGTGATTTTGTCTCTCAGCGCGAATAACGACCATATAAATGCTCTCCGACAAAGATAACAAAGGGACCAGTTGAAAGAAAAAGATGAATCGACCCAACATTGAAGCACAAACTGATTCCGTGTGGTGAGTGATGTTAAAGCAACCCTCTGGACGATCTGTTACCACCCGTTGCTGAAAAAGAGGGGCGCGGGGTAAATTCAAGTCTGAGTCAAGAGGATAGAGACGGATAGACTACTAAGCAAGAGGACAACCTGAAGAACATCACAGATGAGTAGTTGCAACAAAAGCTTAAAAACTGGCCTCTGTCCAGAGAATGTTTACAATATTTTACAATAATATTCGATTCATTTCTATTCTACGTTGACATGGAAAGTTCTCCCAGTACTCTGCAGATAGTGTTTCTTGTCTTCCGAGACTCGTGGTGCCATCCTTCGCTCATGGAGAATACTTTGCACTCGGCTCAGAGGTTCGAGAGTTCTAAAGTTTAGTCTAAAGGAACGAGCTTTTGAAGTGTTGGGTGAAAATGGTGAAACAGTTGTCAAACAGGGAAGTTTGCATAAGTTTGCTGTCAGTTTGCTGTCAATGTGTAGCATCATGGTAGCCACGTGCCATGGAGTGCCATGGAGTGCCACGTAGTCTCAACGCAATGCGATTGCCAAGTGCCGAGGAGAAGTTTGCTCCCCACATGAAGCCAGGGACTATTGTGGCAACGTGGGCTCTTCAGGGACGGCACTTGACCTTGAGAAGTTTCATGACCAATTTTCCCACTGACTGATATATTTCAATGACTGCAATATGTACCAGTAAATATACATGTATATCTGATTATATCTGTATATATTATTATGTTTCATGATACAGTTAATCTGTGTCTAATTGTATATAATTGTATGATAGTTATATTTGAATTCATGCATTTGAGTAGCTGGCAATAGCTCGCCATGGCGTCAGGATGCCAGCAAGGTCTGGCGGCGACATTCTGTTTGCATCGAAGCTTGGAGACAAGGCAGGTCAAAAGGACGCTTAAAAGGTATGGATTATGTTCATCAAATTAAATGGGTATGGGTCAATACCTATTAATACCATTTTTAGGGGGATGAACATCCATTTACCAGCTATTTTGAGGTTCACTAGGTACCAGGTTTTTAGACCCATAGCCAAATGATGGATAATTAATGTGTGAGAAATACACTGGATAATATTAATATATTGTGTTTATGAAATATATTGAAATATTAAACAGAGCGTCGATGAAATTTCAATCAAATATTGCAATATGAGTGGCAAAGCCAAACTGAACAGGAGAATCAAACCCAGCCAACTGAGAGTCCATTGCGCTGTGTTGGGCGCCATGAGAAAACATGGAGACCCGAAGTCTTGTGATTTTGTTTCCTCTAGAAGCAGAAGAAGCCACTCGATACTGTATGAATCCGAAAACGTGGAAAGGTGCCGACAAATAATTTCTACATACATTAGAGGTGCCGACACTGATTGGCACTGAGCTATGCGCTGCATTGCGTGCTACAGTGTGGGTTCATTCCCTGAAATTCCCATGAGTTACACAGTTACACATAGAAAATCCATGAAAATCCACAGCTTTGTGAGGCAAAGGACATGATCTTCTGTGGCTTTGAGACCTTGCTCCTCACTCAAAACACATCACATCTTGCAACAAGACATGACTGTCTTTAGTGTCTTGCATAATTTTCAACTACGGACATGCGTTGACACAAAACAACATGTGATGTAGTATTCAATTATTAGGTACAAATACTGGGTGGGCACAGTTTCTGCATCTACCATAGCACAGTTTGAATGGTTACCTGGCAGCACATAGGTACTACACATGTTGGAGATGTATATCCGTCACCAAGGCCTTGGGCCTGCCGTTTCACCGAATGGGGGAAGAAAGCCACTGTTCTTGGAACCAAGAACAACATCCTCGCTGCCTCTCAGCAGATACGAAGCGTTGTCAAAGATACCAAGATTACGCATGGTTGTGTCAGGTTTGGTGCCTTGAATTACACAGAGCTGAGCCCCCATTTACTTTAGCAGTCGTGTTTCTCCTAGCTTCAAGATCATTCATGCGTTTTCTCGTTCCTTAGCAAGAAATGAGCAGTGCTTTGGTTTCCAAGCCAACATCGTAATTAGTTGGATTATCTTTGGGGTGTGAGGCTCACGCTATTTTATTATGACATATTCCATTACACTAGTATACCTGAAGTATATTCTGTACCCCTGAGATTTTGATAATCGGGTTGATCCTTCCCCTCTGTCCAGATCCCTCGCAATTCGTTACGGATGGTCAGCGGCCAGCATAAAAATGAAACTTACACTTCAGACATGGCGTCCAAACCAACAAAGAATTAAAATATATATATATATTATATATATTATATATATGGATACACAGTGATAGACCCTGCTATGTTTGAAAATGTTTGAAAAAATAATCTGAGCTATTTTGATTTAAGATAGTTGTGCTAGTTCTATACTTTTATTATCTTTAAAAGTCGTAAAGAACAGAATGCGACTCAAAACTCACAAAATCAGAGGATGAGTTTCATAAAGGACTTGTGAACGCGGTTGTAAACCTTTACAACCAAGGTGACAAAGACGGGTTCACGCGGTAAAAAAAACAACTCAAGTGTTCGATTTCAAACTCATTGAAAATCCAACGTTGTAAAAAGATTGCCAAAAAATAGATTTCGAAGCTTTCCCAAAAGAATAAAAGCAAACCTTGATTATAACAATTAAAAGTTCGATTTCAAAAGGCGGACCCTAATAATCAAAACCCCAGGGTTGACTAGTTTTTATATGTTTAGGGCGCTGAATTGCATTTTCCTGTATTCAGGTGCTTTTCAATTGCAACTAAAAAGCGAAGCGTAATGAAAAACAACAATAATAACAACAACAACAACAACACAAAATTGGAATGGACCCTACAAGTAGGCCCTAGTCTTGAATGTTTTCCCTAGTCTTGAATGTTTTTTTGGAGGTTTGGTAATAGGGGGAAGGGACTCAGCATCTCATCCCATCTCCAAATTGGACTTTAAACCATCCACGCTGTTTCCGAGTTTGTTCGGAACAAGGACGATCCTTTGCCCCCCTCTGATAAGCATTTGCTACCAAAACAAACTCAATCAATCCAACTGTGTAGCCTCTAGACCCTTAAAATGATGCAGGAGATCAGATCATGTTGTATCGTTGGTGCGATTTGCAAAGCTGAGGCAGTTTCACCTGTTTCAGCCACCAAGAAAGCCCTTTCCAAGCTTCAGGCGGGCTGCCTATGTGAGGAAAACTTGGAACTGTAGGACCTGGAAGTGATGCAGGTTGTACATCTCCAGTTCATGTTGATTTTGGGTTTTGGATTGAATTATTGCAATGGCCTCTTCTCTTGCGACGAAACTGTGTTTGCTGTTGCGTTATGCATGTTTTTTTTTATATTGCATTTGCTGCAAGCTGAAAGCAGTGCGGAAAGATTGAACACACGTTCGGTGCATCGGTGCATTTTGTCAGGTTTAGTTTTAGCAATTTTAGCATACAAAGCTTGAGAAAGTTGGTGCTCTGGCCAAGGGCCTGCTTGGCGTGAATCCATTCGTGGAAGAAAGCCCCAACAACTTGGGCTGCTCGGACGTTTCGAGCACGAGATAGGTAGCAGAGAGGTATGGAATGACAACGATGACAAGTTGCAAAAGATCCAAGGCGATGATAGACCTGTTTTGACCAGCATTGTCTTCCTGTTTCCCTTCTAACTGAAATGTATTGAAATGTGCTATCATGTGCTCTCATTCCTGCATATGCCATTGCATTGGTTTCTCATGGTTTCTCTGTAAAGTCTCCTTGCGGACATTTGCGTCCAAGGCATTTCTTTGCGCAATCCGGGCATGTGCATCCACCCTGGAGTCATGTATGGGCCCGGACACCTGCTTGTTTAGATATAGATATATTATAATATATATCTATCTATCTATCTATCTATCTGTCTATCTGTCTATCTGTCTATCTGTCTATCTGTCTATCTATCTATCTATCTATCTATCTATCTATAGCTGCCTCCAGTTCCAGCATCCGAATGACATGGTGTTGGGAAGCACTTGTTGTGAAAACACACATCAAAATGCATTAAATGCATCGGGTATTTTGGACATAGACATGGAGGTTTCTGTTGAATTGAAAGATTGAACATATTCCTTCTGATGCGTATTTGCATCAACATCTAAACCCTAAACGCAACGTATATTAATGCAGTCATAAAGCCCGGAGTTTGCATTTTGTGTCTTGAACTGATTTGAACTCATCAAGTACACAACTCTCATTGCAGCGGACCATATTCGAAGCGACTTGAATGATCAAGCTCATTGTGTAAAAAGAACTCTGTTAGTTTGATTCCACATCGGTGAGGCGCTGGGGCCCAGAGAGCTGGGATGGACAAGCAAAGGATGAGGTTTGGCTCCTTTCGCAGAGACAGATCAACGCTTCCGAAGTGACATACTTCGCCACACCCGCCATACCATTAATACTTGACATGCTGCAGCAGTTTGCATAGATTCACAATTATATTCGAAAGAGAGAGAGAGAGAGAGAGAGAGAGAGATAGAGAGAGAGAGAGATAGATAGTGATTCGCTATTTTTTGGATGTAGATTGATCACATCGCAGAAGTCTTGTGTGATTTGTCATGGGTTCAATGGTGAGGCTCCACTCTTTTACCAGGGCGTGGATGATTTCACTGAGAAGGCCGATGTTGATGCTGAGGGTCGAAACTTTTGCCCAGGGAGGCTTCGCACTCTGGGAGGTCCTGACGAGCATGACAGATGAAGTGCAATCGATTTGCCGCAAGATGGAGGCTGAGAATGCTGCATGTGGTGCTACGGTCCGTGAAATTCCGTTCTGAGTCGGTACATCAGCTGCAGTTGATGGCTTAATGACATGAAGATCATGGAGCGGAATGAACACTTGAAACATCTTGAAACAAAACTCGAAGTTTCTGTCAGGAAGTGGCTCCAGGTTTGAACATGAAAGATGCCTGCACTTTGAAGCAGTGGTACCTGGACTGTGCCTGGGCAGCATGCTCGTCAGTAGAAAATTGGCTGTTCCCTGGACCGTGCGAGGGACTGTGTCCTATGTTGCCTGCCGTCAGACAGTGACACATGTCCCACGTGAAGGCTACGACGGCCAAATGAAGGACACTAGCTCTCTGAAGGCAAGGAGCACGTGAAGAGGTACAGACAAGATCAAGAAGTCAAGAAGTTATAACAACAACATGGACAAATTAGGTGTACACGAGTGAAAGATTAAAAGGTGCAGAGCAATCAGCGCAAGAAAAGCTTGTTGAGTCTGTTGCAAGAATATTCAAGCGATTTGGCTTGGCTGTGCAAATTTCAACCCTGACAACCTGTGCTTGATGTTTTGCATAGGCCTGCATGAATACCAACGCGGCCTATGATGGTCTGAAGCATCCCTGCAAGGCAGCGAATACCTTCTGTTGCCAGCATGTAGAAGTGCCCTTGAGAGTTTAAGATGCAGACATTTTGTAAAGCCCAGATTTTGCCATCAGTTTGGCTCCTTGATTGGCTTGCAGTGCCGTTACATGTCAATGGCCTCTTCGCAGAGGAAGTTGAGGGGAAGTTCATGCCAGGCGAGTGGGTTGCATTGTCATGGATTTCTTGCGGTTTTTGGGCCTTGAGGAGGATTTACGTGTATGAAGATAATATATCTTGTAGGCATTATCATGCCATGTCAGGTCACATCCGAAAGCAACGAATCACATGACATTTGATACCATTGATACATATGATACAGTGGTTGCATGTCTGAATGCTGTCCAACATTCTGTCCACCATCGCGTCCAAAGCATTTTGTCCAGCACCATGTCGAGAGCATTTTGCCGAGCATTCTGTTCCGCACTACAACTTTGGTTGGTCCATGATTTTGGACATACTTTGACAGGGCACAGGGATGTCAGTTTCATCCAATCGCAAAGCTGTCAGATCTCAAGTACCGCTACCTCTCAGAGGATATCCCCACAGGACTGTGCTTTGTTTCCATCTGAGAAGATAAGTGGCAGATGGGCGGCTGTGTTTGTGTGAGATCAGCATGATTGATATTGATTGATCAAACAGCATGAACATGGATCAACTTCAGCAAAACTTCTGAGGCGAAAGGCTTGGCAGAAATTCTGGAGCTGAGCACTCCGCAGATTGACAAGGCTAACTCCTCAGGCATCAAGACATGGCAAGACATGTCGGTCTGTTTAAGTGAAGAATGTAGGACGTTGTCCACTATCTTCTCCAGGAAGAGCGGAAACATGTGCACTGTAGTACTCCAAGGATGCGAGACAGCACGCGCTTGCAACAATGCAAAAACAGATAAAAACAGATGCAAAAATCCCCACCTAGTGCATTGTGTGGAACTATTTTGCTGCTGCCTTTCCAATCTGATAAACAGACAAGTAAACAAGCCCTGCGACCTTGTAAAGACTCAGAAACGTGACAGGTGCAAATCAGAATTATGCCAGGTTTTTGAAGTTTTCCTTTTTCTATATTTGTCGAACTTTCAACAATACATGATTGCGTTCAAGATGTTTTGGGAACAAAGGCAAAAACACCCACTGTACCAAGTAACGTTTGCAGCTCCAACCTTTCATCCGAGGTGATTCAGTGGGGCCAGGCACGCAGAAACTCAGAAATGCGCTGGGCGTTGCAGAAAGACTCTTGACATTTCTGTGCTTTGGCCAAAAAATGCTGAAACTATTTACATGCCATGCCAACTGCTGTACAATGATATTGCCTGTATACTAACACGACTTGCATTGAAGCATTTGCGTGTTCTGCTGGTAAAGCGATGTCAATCAGAACTGGTTTGGCGGCCTGGCGTTGTGTTGTCCAAGTGTTATGTGCTTGTAGGAGTGCATCGGCCTTGAAATCATGGTGGATGGCAAAATGACTGGCAAGGAGCAATCCGGTGAATACAATAGCGATCAATTTCAATGACTGTCAGTATAGACTTTGCTTGAATTCGACATGTGAGATGGTTGTGTTCGAAGGTATGTTGAAATGCTTCTACCATTGCAAATCGCCAAGTCTCTATAAGACAGCAAAACACATGACCATGTTCACTTCTTTATTCGGACATCTGAAATCATGGTGGCTTGTACTCTGTTTCCAGGCAAAAAAGTTCCTTTCATCCGAATGATAGGTAGGATGTGGTGTGTGTGTGTGCGCGGGTGTTCTGCATGTCTTTGATACATGTGCTGGCGTAATGCATGTTCGTAGCGAGCTTGATTGTGGGTGTATGTCTACATCCCAGTAACCCCCGGAGAACTTCACTAGCTTATCCCATCTCTTGGACAAACGCAACAATGACGGCCCATGCAACAAGAATAAGAAAAAGAAGAAGAAGAAGACAAAAAGAAGGAGAAGGCGACAGAAAATTGTAACATTTACATGACTAACAGCGAGGCACACTAGCTACTGGTTGTGCGCTTGCATTTTCTGCAGCTTTTAGATACGGTTTCATTCAAACATTAAAGAGCCAATGCGGGCTTCCAGTTTATTTCGACAAGTCAGAACTATATTGCAGGCCAAACATGAAGCGGCATGCGTGGGGCGACTTGTCAACCAAACCAGACAAAGACATTTTGACAAGCTGTCACATGCCTGGATTTTCATGACTGTATTCAGTAATTAGTCTTATTACAAGTTCCTTTTCGTTCAAAAATGTTGCAGGGAGGGTTTCTGCATTGCAGGATTTGGACAAGACCCGAGCTCCACAAGGTAGGAGCGTGAGCAGAAACTTTGAAGTGAAGATCGGAAGGAATTCAAAGAAAAGAAGAGACATGATCGATCCGGGGCATAGTGTTTCCTTGATCATTCCACGTTATCATATTATCGGACCTGGATGTTTAAAGGCCTAAAATATTTTGACCCTTTCGGTTGTTTCCCAATCATGTTCGAAGTCACCTAGTTTTTTGGGTATTGTTATCAAAAAAACGAAATTTGCTTCAACCCTGAGCGTTTCAACATATTCCCTCCCTCTCCCAGCGAATGTAATTAACATTTTTTGAGGTTGCTTGTCTATATAGAGTAGAGTGCATTGGGGTTGGGTATGCGGTCTGACTCCGTAACTCCGCTTATATTTTTTCTGTGCGAAGCACTTTTGCCCAGAATCTCCAAAAAGCAAAAAAACAACACGACCAAAACGCCCCGCAATCATCCCGCAAAAATCCGCACAACGCCCGCAAAAACCCGCAAATCCAGAAAACAGGGTTTTTGGCTTAATTCTACACATACGAGTAATGTCAAGTGAGGATTAATAATACCCCCAGGATTAATCAACCACCACTGCCCCCCAAAAAAATGTAATTTAAAGACAGGTGGTCCCCCCAGATTAATAAAGCCCCCGATTAAAAAACCACCACTTCGGAAATCCATTTTTTTATCCAACATTTTTTATTTCCAATTCTATTTATTTCCAATTGTTTTTTACCTTTTTTTAATCATCATTGTTATACTTCAGGTTTAAGTTGATCATTGAAAATTTCAAAAAACAACTATTCCCCAAATGATCGATTTCTAATTAAAATCTTTATAAAAAAACATCAGTTTGGATAGCTCCCAAAGGGTACCCCCCATGAGCCCATGTCCCCCATTAATAATAACCATGGTTTGCCCCTGATTAATCAACCACCTTTCTGATCCATGAAATTTTAACAAATCCAATGGAATTCTATTAAGATCTAATTGACGTAAGCCATATCCAAAGTTTTATGGTTCAGAATTTTATGGTTCAGGGCCGTTTATTTACGGGTAGTCAAGAAAACTAGCTAGAAGGTACCTACCTACCTACCTGGTGGGGGGGGGGTTATTAATCCGGTGTTGGCATTAGTTTGTTTTGTAATAGTTTTTTGCGAAGCATCCAGGTAAAAAGTACAGTGGTGGGAGTCCGAAGTCGCACTTAGCTAAACAAGCTGGAGTGACCTGGGCTTGAGGTAGAACCAATGGAAGGCTAAACGCCCCGCCTAGTTTTTTTGCATGTTGTCTAGTTTTCATCAAGTTTGTATGTGTTTCTTGTGAAACGCCTGGTTTCAGAAGGACCGACCACATAAACTAGTACCGACACAAACGACCAAAATATGTTGGTATGAATTTCAAGGGATGTATGAAAAGGTCAATCAAGTCTTCATATTCACATGAGCTGATGAACTCAGTTTGCGCAGAAATTCACTGAATTCCTTTCACATATTATTGTAGATTGGAGGATAGAAACTAAATGGGACAAGGTTGATGGACAGGGATGCTGCTGTTTTTTGTGACTAGTTTATTGCAATTTGGTAGGCTAGTGATGATTGCGCATTTGTCGAGCTGGTGTGAACATGTTGATTTTGCCGCTGCAGTTTGCGCACCTCGTGAAACTTGCGCTGTTGAAGGCATGGGCATCACCACTGTCGAGGCTTTCCTGACGGCGTCAAAAATCAAGTGATGCCAAAAGTTTAAAAGGAGAGAGGGAGATGCCAGCTCTCGTCCCCAAGTGAGGTCTGGGAAACTCCAGTTTCAAGGAGAGTCAAGTGTCACCTTGGAGTGGCCAAATGGCCCCAAGGGAATTCTGAAGTCGTACGCAGGGTGGCAAGCAGTTGACGAACATACTTCGGTAGACTCCGATCATTATACCTCAAGGCCATTGGTTCTGTTGGTGCACGCTGCACGTCAGAGTGTTCTGCTTGTTTGCCTGGCGTTCGCTCATTTTTTCGCTTCATTGCAAGAAGCTTCCGGGGCCATATGAGCTGTCAGCCCCATGTTCTGACAACTTCGGAAGCGCAGTGAACCGACAAAAAGAGCGTATCCCTCTCTGCGTCAGGCCCTCCAACTCTTCTGTTCGCTTAGGCCTCCACCAAGCAATTGCAAATTGAATGACCTGAAATGGCCTGAATCTGTTCTGGTTCAAGCAATTCGAAAGACGCAATCGGTGATTGGAACTTTTCAACATGGCTTTCAGGAGGCGATGATTTTGGATATAGCCACTGAGACTGGGGATGTTGGAAAGTGATGCAAAATGTGTTTCTATCCACTAAAAATGGGGATGTGAAGAATCAACATATGCCAGCACAAGTGCGAAGAAACGGTCAACTTCTGGACTAGAACTCCTGTAGCTACAAGATGAGGGTGAAAAACAAAGAAAAACAAAACATTTCACCATGGGTTGCGTTTTTGTAAAAGACTTCATGACTTGTGCAGCCTTCCAACGAGGCAGAAAAAAGATGTGGAAGATTCTATCGTACCGGATAAAAACTTATTAATCTGCCACTTACGAAGTCACATCTATCCCAGGTCCTTCGAGTTCTTTTGCGAAGATGGGGCGCTGCTTCCAGTGTGAAAAATAACGACACGGTTGGGTTTTGAGAGGACAGCAGCAACAGAAGGTGGTGCAAAATCTCGAAAACTCTTGCTGTAAATGATGGCCCGTTGGATTATGTATGACAAGTTTCCGGACTACTCTCTGGTAATTAATCAGCATGCACGACTACCCTTTGGTAATCATCATGACCATGGAAAATTGCCCGGTAGTGGAGATTGTGTATTCTGCTTGTTGAAGAAAGTTCAGTTGGAGCATCTTATTTCCTCACTGTTGCTGTTGGTTGAAACATATATTCCCCATGCTTGCCAATCCTGTTTGAGTACAATTGAGTTCAATTCCCAAGTTCAATGGCATCTTTAGGTGAAAATGTTTATTGCATGGGCTGACTCAGCGTTTTGCTCCGGCAGATGCCTATGCGGCGCGGCCAGAAGTGTAACAATGACAGATGTGCAAAAATTGCATCCACTCACAGTGGGATTATGATAGAAAATGTCAGAGGATAATATCTTGAAACAGGTTCGGTCCGAGAAAACATCAGCCTTTTCCAGTTGTACCATCCCAAAGAACATGTCAACGCTTGAGAAGATTTCACGGATCAGATTGGCAATCCCCAATCTCCGCGGATCTTCAATCATCTCATACCAAGCTCTTCATTGCACCGGGGACGAGCGCGGGTGACTTCTTAGGACCAAAGGCAGGGTCTCAGGGGTTAGCACTGGATGGGCACTCTAGTATGTCAATCTCTTACTATACATGGAAATGTGCTCTGAGTAAAAACAAGCTAAAGTTTTGTCTACCGGGTATCTCAGTGGTCATAAAAGAACGCAACTCGTTAGCAAATGGCGGAATCGTCGAGGGACTGTCTCGTTGAACGCGCAGGAAGGTTTTTAGAGATTGTGCAACTCCATGTCTGCGTGCCAATGCAGCTGAAGGTTGCTCAACGCATTGAAACAGCTATGAGAGGAGAAACAGGAGGAGTTACAGAAGAGGTAGCCAGTCAGGAAGTAGCTGGGCAAGATGATGCTCAGTGAAGAAGTGGCTGACAGAAGCGAAGAGGCAGGTCAGATAAGGAAGGCAGCTTAGAGTAGAAGTAGCTGGGCGAAGAAATTCATGCATTCATTCTCATTCATTCGCTCATTCATTCTATCATTCATTCATGCACCCTTTCATTCATCCACAATCATTATTGCATGCATTCATTCGTTCATTCATTCATGCGTTCATTCATGCCTTCGTTCATTCATTCAAGAAATTAGTTTGTTCGTTCATCCGTTTAGTCATTCATGAATCCATCCATTTGTTCCAAAGACTCTCCTTTAGAATCCTGATAGAGGTCATATAGCTGCAATGGTCGGTTGTTCGGTCCGGCGAGATCGAATAAGACCATCGCCATTGTGCCGTGAGAAATCTGTGGCATGAGATTTGAAGGTAGGGTCTGATGGGTCTGACAAAGTCTGGATGGTAACTTCCCCCAATCCTCTCTGATTCCAATCTGTGGGATCATGATCCATGGATATCCATGGTTCAATGAGGGCCGAAGTGAGTTTTCCCTCGACAGTGCTTTTATTGGATGGACCCACTTCGACGAGACAAAAGGTCGTCAAGAAAACTACGGAAAACGAAAGTTGTTTGCCCAAACCTGGCATGAAGCATCCGAAACAGGTTGATATTTTACAAATATTCATGGCCATGGGCATTCCAATTTTTTACCGTCTTCCCCTATCATGTCCTGGCGCACTTTGACATCGCCTACCGCGTTGGCGAAGGAACACGATTGATTCGGCAAGGCACGAGGATCACGAGGCACCTGCCGTTTCTTCCTGGTGGCGGCTTACCTTCATTAAAGCAATTATGGTTTTCCCACCCATGGGGTCTTGGCATGGTCCAACCACCGAATATCACGAAATATGTTTAGATTGTTTGGAGTTTAGATGGACAAAAAAAACACATAAAGCAGACTGAAATGAAAGCACACTTGAGAGAGTTTCACTGTAATCTACCAGGTAGTGTGTGCCATAGCTGCCGCCTCCAGTTAAGCGCATCCAAAGCTTTTGGCTCCAAAGACCCAGCCGGGCATGCCGTTTAGCCAGGGAACAGCCATGCATGCCATAGTGCAGGTACAGCCAATGGGGCCAGAGGTGGATCTCAACGTTCCAGCACCTCCCTCGCTGGATGGCCACATGAAGCTGTTGGAATTTCCAGAGGTTGAGGAAATTCCGGAAGAGACGCCTGCAGCACACATTCAGCAGAAGCAGGAGTTCAGACAGAGACTGGGTCCTGGCTTCAGGAAAAAACAGTAACCGGGGATATGTTAAAATGAGAAGACCAAAAAAAACACCAAATTGGGCCGATGACCGTCCCAACATCTTCTCGATGGCGCAAATTTTGAAGGGGAGTCCCTGAATCTGGGGGTGACTGGTACCAATTGTTGCACATATCTGCAGATTGCTTTTGGAGTCACAGTGTGTGCGAATAATCCATAATCCACCTTGTTGCCGATGTTTTACATGTTTGTTATATCTTCATGTACTGTATTTAGTTGTTTTTTGGAGGGCTTAATTTGCCTAGTGAGCGATGTTTAACGACATTGAACCATCTTCAACGATGTTAGAACGAGATTGAACGGAATGTTCGAGCCATGGCCAAGGGTTCAACCCGCAATCAGGAAGCAACACGAGGTGAAATTGTACCTTGGACATCAGCTGCTGTGGCAACCGGATGGGAATTCTTGATTGAATTTAACTCCAGCATTCTGTACAAGCTTTCTAGGTAGTTGAGAACTTGTCCAGTACGCTTTTGCTGCACATCGATGTGTATGTGTATATATATATATTATAATAATATGGCGGAAGTTTCAAAGATAGGACACTATAGGAGAGGTGAGTTGTTGTGATGCATGGATGGCAGAGCAAACCCACTGATGGACCGAAAGGTGGTCGCAGTTGTCTTTTTTGGAGTGGCTGCGATGGTTGCAGTGGTTACCTCACCCACAACTGCTGGATGTAGTGTGGTGTAGCGCAGTTGTAGCTGTAGCTGTAGTGGTAGTGCAGTGTAGTGTAGTAAACTGTAGTGTTGTGTACTGTAGTGTAATGTAATTAGTGTAGTCAAGCGTAATGTAGTGTAGTTGTCGAAGGAAGTTTAGAAGTGAAACTTCCGACAATATGGACAGTTGAAAAGCAGAGGTGAGAAGAGTCAGAAGAGACAAGATCAGAAGAAAGAAGATGAAGATGCGCGAAAAGGTAGGAAAGTCGCGAAACACTGTGTTTTTCCAATGATTTGTGGCTCAGGAGGGTCGAAAAGTAGGCTCGCTAAAGCGGCGGGTGCGGAGCCAGCTGGCCACAGGAGCGATGAAAAATTGCACGCCGTTGTGGCGTGAAGCACATTTCCAAGTCAAAAGGTACAAAGCACCTCAGGTCCGGACCACTTTTGGAAGTTGAGATGTCGAAAAAGTGCACGCCGTTGTGGCGCGAAGCACATTTCCAAGTCAAAATGTACAAAACACCTCAGCTTCGGACCCCTTTTGGAAGTTGAGATGTCGAAAAAGTGCACGCCGTTGTGGCGCGAAGCACATTTCCAAGTCAAAATGTACAAAGCACCAGGGGTTCGGACCACTTTTTGAAGTTCAGATGTCGAAAAAGTGCACGCCGTTGTGGCGCGAAGCACATTTCGAAGTCAAAAGTGTTAAAAACTGACGGTCTCGGACCACTTTTGGAGGTTCAGATGTCGAAAAAGTGTCGAAAAAGTGCACGCCGTTGTGGCGCGAAGCACATTTCGAAGTCAAAAGTGTAAAAAACTGAGGGTTTCGAGCCTTTTTTGACGTGAAGATGTCGAAAAAGTAGACACTGATTAACTTAACTAACTTGACTAACTTAACATCCTCTTACCAGTTTCCCCCAGAAAGTCTAGGGGGTCAACCCCCCTGTAAGCCTTCATTTCCTAGTCACCCCAAGTTTGTATTCTGGGGATTGGCTGCTTTCATAGTGGCCTTAATTTTCTAGCGTGGCTATTTTAAGCACCTCAAAGTTGACAGAGCCTAACTTTCTGGCGCGGAAGATGCGGATTTTACGGACCCAATTTTGGGGAGTCAGCCTATGAATTTCTAGTGGGCTCTGTCTGTCTTTCTAGTTTAGTTGAGTTAGACTTATGTTTCTGAATACTGGTTCCCTTTTCCTAAGGAAATCCGGCTCGTTAACTCGACTAGGGGAATGTGAAGGGGGATGTCTCTGATCCATACCAGCAATGCCTGTTTGCTTTTGTTTTTCTAATGGCTTTCACTGTGACCCTGTGCATTCACTGAACCATGCGCCCATGATTTTCTTGGAACACCTTGGAACTGCATGGATCGTTGGAAGCCGTCTCAGGGAGGAAGCGGCAATGAGCCAGGCGTCAAGTGACAAAGTGTATGACAGAGCCACAAGCAACACCGTGTCACAACTTGAGCAGCCCACAGCATTTTGGCAGCCCATCACTAGCTTCGAGCAGCGCAATGGCGCGCATTCCACCGAATTATCCCACTGTTGTAGAATCCGAATGAAACATATGTTCTAATCTACATGAAACCGTTTTTCTATGAGTTTTTTGTTGCAAAAAAATGTTGAAAAAATAAATTTCTATCGGTAGGGCTGATACTCCCCGAAATATGTTTCATTAAAAAAAGATAGATTTCTCTCCAGAGTTTTTCTCCACAATCGGTTGGAAAACCAAGTTCTTGATACTTATTGTGGCCATCTAAAAGTCCAAGAGATATCCAAAAAAAACCAAAAGACATCCAAAGACCTAATTTCTTTTCTGTTCAAATGCTATGTTTTTGATTTTGTAGTAGGGACATGGGCCATCGACACCTGTGTTTGTGATTTTGTAGGTTTGGCGATTTCCAAAATCATGAGCAGGAAAAACCCGTGTAAGAGAAACCATTTTCACTTTTTTTTTCTATGAGTTTTTTGTTGCAAAAAAATGTTGAAAAAATAAATTTCTATCGGTAAGGCTGATACTCCCCGAAATATGTTTCATTAAAAGAATATCATAGCTCATATGAGAATTTCCACTGACATGAATGTTCTAGAATATCATAGCTCAGATGTTGATGCCAAATAATTATGACATCAAGCTCCGCATTTTTCGTCGGAGCCCAAGGATCAGGTTTCAATTTTCTACCAAATTTTTGGCACTTCAGGGTCTAAAATGCC